ATCAAATAAAAAAAAAACAATAAACACATTCACTAACCTGCAAAAGATCCGACTTCAAATTCCCCGCCGGGATCCAGCTTCGGACTCGTGCGGACTGGTGCACTTTCCTAAAAAAAAACATAATTACAGTACATTAATTTACATTTACTTACCTGAAAAACAGCCTTCCTTTTCCAAGGGCGATCGCGAGACTCGCAATCTCCGAAACTGGCGGGGGTCCAGGTGTGGGAGCTGCCTTCCTGGCACGTCGGTAGCATTGGTGCTCAGCACGGAAAACAAGATCGACGGAAAAAACAAACCAAAGGATTTGCCGCAACGTCGGACACCGAATCGCCACCAAAACTCGCGACGGACACATTTTCGGCACTTTCCCGGACTAATTCGCCGAAAAATCGATCTTTTCGATCTTTTCACACCGCGAAAAAAAAACTGTACACGGTCAATGTGATCAACCCAAATTTGAATACAGTGTACTCAAAATCGCAAAAAGTGCAGGAACGCAGCGATGAGTAAATTTGCCTCGAGATTTGCCTCATGTTTTCCGGTGGAAAACTTCAAAAATCTTCCGGAAAATTAGGATTGACGAAAATCCACAGAATTCAATCTTTACTTTTCTTATATTCGGAAAAATTTTACTGGAAAAACCTGGAAAAACAGAGGGAAATTAACTCAAAACTGAGTTCCTGTACTTTTTGCGATTTATGAGTGAACTAAACTCAAATTTGGGTATTCTCATTCACCGTATAGTGCTGACTCAGGACAAAACAAACTTTGCATGCGGCGAGGGACCGAAGGACAACAATTTACATCGTGATGAACTTTGATTCTAATGTAACGTTAGGTTCTGTTGTAATTGGATGTATTCTGATGTTTTATGCGTGCAACAAATTACATCGTGATGAAGTTTGATTTTAATGTAACGTTAGGTTCTGTTGTAATTGGATGTATTCTGATGTTTTATGCGTGCAACAAATTACATCGTGATGAAGTTTGATTCTAATGTAACGTTTGGTTCTGTTGTCATTGGATGTATTCTGATGTCAAATTTTACATCGTCAAGACGTTTGATTCTGATGTAACGTTTGAGGCTAATGTATTTTTATGTACTTGGATGTCACACTGAAGTCTGAATACATTAAGGGTACAGCAATACACATTAAAATTTAATGTATTGAAGATGTCTGCTGATGTTTCCTACATTACAATTTCTATTCGGGCTCAAATTTCAGATTAAGTCCCATCAATGTATTTAAAAAAGGGGTACTTTTTACCCAGTTACGGAAAACAATGCATTCTGGAAATGGGTAAAAAGTACCCTATGATTTGACGTATAAGCTCTTTACCCATTAGTGGGTAAAGACGTTTTACCCATTTTATGAGTTTCCAGTTACAGTGTAGGGAAAATTTCCCACGCAAAATAAGCCAGCATATTTCTTCTATTGTCACTCAGACGGCTCTAGTGTTCTCACTTTACATAACTGGAGTCAAGGCTGGCGCACATTGCATAAGCACAGACAAACAGACAAAACTCTTAGAAGAAAATTCTTCGAAAAATATCGTCAAGCGTATTTTGCATGCGCACTAGCACCATCTATTATCCACATTCCCAAGCATTGTTTTGCAACCTCAGCATCCCTCGTTTATGTAATTTTTCCACTAGTTACTTTTTCCTCGTTCTGTCAACGCGTCAGCTGTGTTGAATAGAAACAAAACAGATGGAGGTCAGTGATGTCGGTTCTACGAAATTTTCCGTACTATAGAATTGATTGATTCTGATCTGCGGAAATACGGATCGATAGGAAAAAATCACAGAAGCTCAGACTTTTTTAAGGGATTTGTTTTGTTTGTTTAGTGTGCTTTTTCTTTTGCTGGAAACAAGTTTTTAAACGAGGTAATGCATCACTAAGTAGTGCAATTTCTACCACCGCTCATCACTTTAATGTGTACACTGCAAAAAAGTATAAATATTGAACATCAATAACTGGTAAAAGTTGATAGAATATTACAGACATCCAATTGATTTTTTCTCGAATTCTGTGTACATCGTACAGCGTAATATCACAGACAAACATACGTAACTCTTCATTGCGTATCTTTGTGCACGCATTTAACGGTTGATTTGAATATTATGAGTTCCGCGAACTACTCGCCGCAGCGCTGGCATCGGATCACTTTGACGTTTCTATATATTCTATAGAACTTTAATACAATATTGTTTGCGAGTTGGCGAGCAATCTTGTTTTCCACGAGAAGCCTGAGAGATGTCGTTACTGAGGGTCTTTGTTTTGAGATACTATGTTTTCAAGGATAACTTTTTCAAAGAGTTACGTCTGTTTGTCTGTGGTAATATCAACAGTCAATACGAAACTAACGATTTTAAATTGGCTCACTACTTGACTAGCCTATTGGCAACAATCAATACGAAACTATCGATTATAAATTGGCTCACCACTTTAGTAGCCTATTGGTCCCAAGCAAACGATTAACCACAGACAAACAGACATAACACATTGAATATTTCTCACTGTAAAACATCGTCGCAAAAACATTACCGCCATCTGTTGAGTACACTATGGTGGGTAGTACGCAGAACAGATGGCGGTAGTGTGTAAACGTAAAACGCAAGGGAATTGACTATGCGCGCCACTGGTGGCGGTACTACCAACTACGATACTTTTAAATTGACCGTTAAATGCTTGTTCGATGAACAACTTGCGAGTGTTATGTCTGTTTGTCTGTGGATTAACGTACCCTATTCTAGTTGAAATTCTATTACTACACTATGTTTGTTTTGATTCGCTATGAAAGTTTGACAGATAACATCAGGGGTGTGTGGATTCATGCAGAACATGCAGGGGTGAGTGAAATAGCTTGGGACTGCTTGGGACCGTTGTTCTGGTACTGAGTGAGCCAAAAATAATAATGATTTTCTTCGAGACCCAGTGGTCTTAGAGTTACCTCTATGCTATTGGTCCCAAGCTAACGATTAACGTACCTCATTCTAGTCGAAATTCTACTACTACACAATGTTTGTTTTGATTCGCTATGAAAGTTTGACAGATAAAATGAGGGGAGTGGATTTTCGAGGGGTGAATCGATAAGCTTGGGACCAAAAAGAGTACCAGAGCTGAGCCAAAAAGTTGGGCACGTTATTTCGGGACCTTCTAGTCTTAGAGGTACCTCTATGGTAATATTAGGAACGGAATGTTTTAGCGACGATACTTTACGGTTAGAAATATTCAATGTGTTATGTCTGTTTGTCGGTGGATCAAGTGTGAGTAAGAAAGCAGTTAATCATTCATCCTCGTGTACTACAACATGGATATGGATCACATTGGCCTAATCATGACTAATCCTAGCCTGATGCCTAATTTCATTCATGCAATAATCTTTGTTTCAAATCATCTATTGCAAATTACGTTACCATTGAAAATGGAACCGCAACCGCTTAAATGGAACAGTATAAACATATTAGAAGCAATCAATGTAGAGGTTTTACGTAACAGAAAATGATCACCTGCCATCATTTGCTAATCTATGCCACTGTTACGCAACTAGCGGAGCAAACAAAACTGGTACCATTTTCCTAAATTATTTAGCATACCTGCAAAGGATACGATATAAAAGTAGGATTCATATCGCTGAGCGACGAATTATTGTGTTAAAATGTTGCCTTTGATTCAATCAAGCTTCGCAGTTGTAAGCTTTGCTCAACACATCAGTAAGTAAGCATCAAGTTTTTAACAGCCGTACACATTGAATTTTATATTCCAGTTCTATCATATTTCACGTTTGAAAACTATTGTACTGTGATCTATTATGACCGAGATTTGATCGACCAGAACGCAGTCTGTGAGCAGAAATGTTATTTTCTCTTGGCGTTGGAGTCTGCATTTTCATCCGTCTACGAGCAACATTCAATCATGTGGATTTCATCAGAGAAAAACTCCGAAGCATTGCTGAAAAATGCAATCGAAATAGGATGTCAAGTAACTCAGTTGATAAACAACCTCATTCAAATTCTCATGGTGATCATTCTTTGCAGTCTTATATCGTGGTGACCCGAGATGTGATGTCATTTTTGGAAATGAAGTTAATGATAAAGGAAAATACGGTGCAACGAATCCGTGATAAAAACATTCTTGTATTCAGTGAATACATACCTCTTTTTGAAGACAATTGGATCATTAGGGAAGCAATGAAGTGTAACTATTTCCTACGTTTTCTACAATAATCTACTTAATCTAATTTTTTAACAGTCTACCCAAACCTTTGGTTCATTGTGCCTACTAGCAAAGATTTCTATAGTTTTTACTCCCACGACTATTCCATTACCAATACAACGGAAGTACGTTTCGTACAAAGTTACAACATTACAACAGATCCGTTCATAAATGAGGGATCCATTTTCTACGATAAATTATTTGATTTGAATGGCAGGAATATACCAATTGCTGTTGTGGAATATTTACCATACTGTATGACGACTAATGTTGGTGCAAACAATGGAAATGCGGATGCTTTCAACACCTCGCTGTCCAAGGATCTGTATCTTGAAGGACTTGAAGGTAGCTTGATAGTGGAGTTCTGTCGAAATCGCAACTGTAACCTTCAGCTGTGGCCATGTGAGTATGTTAATAAAATTTTACTATCGAGAATAATGATTAATTGCGTCTATAGATGGCGAAAGCGAATGGGGTGAAATTTGGGAAAATGGATCTGGTTTTGGTGGAATCTATTCTACTTATTCCAAGCAGACTGAGTTTTCAACTTGCTGTTTGTATTACAACTGGTAAGTTTTTGCTGGCACGTTAAATAAGGTAAAATTATTAAAATTAAAAAAAAATATTTTTAACTGAAGGTACCTACATCTCCTAGATGGCAGCCAATATGTTGCCAAATCAACCATCACTGCGTTGGTTCCTGGTGCCACTCTGCTACCAACATCCTTGACAGTGATTTACCCATTTTCGAAAACTCTTTGGCTTTCAGTTTTCATCATGCTGATCATTATGACAGGCATTCATCATTTAATCACTGCTCTCAACTTTAAACATAGCCTCGACAGGGATGATGCACAGCCACCAATTGAAAAATCCATATTCGATATAATTTCCATTTATCTGGATCAAGGAATTTTTCCGAAGTACATTATTAAAATATGGTCCTAATACCTTTTATATTAATTAATTTATTTTTTTCAGCTCAATTTCGTCATCATATCGGGTTCTGATATCGTTTATACTGTTGTCAGGAGTTGTACTAAGCAACTCATATGCTAGTGGGTTGGCAAGCGTGCTGACTGTTCCCAGATATGGAAAGCCTATAGAAACAATTCATGACTTCGTTCAAACACCTTACCGATGGGGAGCCCCAGCCATTGCTTGGGTTCTATCTCTGTTTGGAGCTGATGCAGTATAAACAGACAAAACAGTTTGCTTGTCGTTTCCACAAATTTTAAATTTTAATTTTCATTGCAGCGCGATATCCAAATGGTAGTGGAAAAATTCGACATTGATGAAGACGATCATCTTTACCGACGAGCATTGGCAGGCGACTACGGACTTGGAGTGGAACTTCTCAATGGTGGCAGCTATGCTTTCGGATCCTACATTCGCGAGGACAACGTTCGGTCGTTTGATATTTTGAAAGAAGAGTTCTATTTTACCTACACCATCGGATACTCTCAGAGAGGATGGCCACTGATGGAGTATTTCAACAAGTTCAACCTTGAGGCAATCCAATTTGGATTTGTGATCCAATGGGAGAAACGGACGATGAGAAAGTACTTGAGCCATCGTGTTCAGGAAGCGTTACAACAGATTTCCTCCGGAAATAACGAGGGTGAAGAGCTTGCCCCATTGACCACGCAACATATTGTGGGATCGATGATTATTTTGGGCATTGGATTGTCGGCAGCGTTAGTGGTTTTCGTTTTGGAATTAATTTTATTTGCTTTGATATCTCGTTATGAGAGGCTGCATGGGAAAAGTTCAAACACAAAAGTTACACGCGTGAGAAAAGCTCCCAGACGCTTCTGAATGATGTTTTTATGCTACTTAGTAAAGGTGTAGTGGTGAGTTGGTCTATGCGTTTTGATCTTTGAGCTTAATAGTAAATTTTACCTTCATTTGATAAGTACTAGGATTATTAACTTCTCAAATCACACACTTGAGAACACAAAAAAATGACCATTAATTGTTCTGAATTCCAGAGATGAACCACCCAAGGCTGAAAGCCTCTTTAATAAAATTATAATAATAAAACTCTATGCACACTTAAAACCAAAATCTTTTCACTGTGAAATGTATTACCATTACACTTCAGTGAATCGAATATGTGTCGAAATGCTATTAAACATAAATATTTTACTGAAACTCGGATGTTTTTTTCCGTCGAAATATCGGCAATAACAATCATTTACCAAGCTTCGTCAAAAATATTCACTGAAAAAATTGAAAACAAGTTATGTACACTGCTGAGCTCGGCAAATTAAATTAACGAACGTAGATCTAGTAGGCAGTCTTGTTTTACTTTTCCGAGAATAGTTAAAATATCTATCAATATGAAAATGGCCTCATGTTATTTTTCCAGTACACAGAAGTTATTATCAGTGTGAAACCGAACTTTTTGTCAGTGCGAACCGCAACCTGGGGTAGGTTTTAAAAACAAACGATCAAACTGACTTTTGTCAGAAAACAACGAGGAAAACAAGCAGAGCCGATCTTGATACCCGATCCAGGTTGGAACTGAATAATAAAAAAAAAAAAAAATCGCTGTTAGATTTACCAAGAAATGGTAAAACTTGGTTTGCCGATTAATCCAAAGGGGACGACCCAAGTAACCAACAAGCCCGCTAATCGCCCTTTTTGTAATATAAGGCTGATATACAAGGGGTAATTCATTCAGCACATTGTGCCGAAATTAGATTCGGCACAGCTTGGGCACATCCATCGGCATACCTTCGGTACAACTTCGTAGGCATTGGATTGTTGTAAATAAACTGGGAGCACTGCTGGACAACTGGCATTGAAGATGTTCACAACATTACGTGCTGTTTGACTGTATATTCAGGAACACCCTCTAATTGAATATACCAGAGGAAATCAGACCCGAGGGGGGCGACTCTATCTACGATGAAGGAAAAATTGTTTTTTGCTGCTGCTGAGTAGATAGTAAGAAGATTTATGATGAATATGAAGATTTCTTGCAAAAAGATGATGCTCGATGCAAGTAGATGCGAGAAATGAAAGAAGATTTTTCGAAGATTTATTAGCTAGTGTGAGATTTGTTGAGCACCTAGAATTGAGATTTAGATCAGACCATCAGTTCACTTCTCGATTTACTTATACACACTTAGAAATACCTAATCTTACATGTGATGGAATCCATCTTTGACATAAAGGATGAGACGTAATCAACCATGTCTTGTGAAATTAAGTGCTCCGAGACTGCAAAGTTTGAAAGTACGTTTGATTGAGCTGAATTTCACGTGTATTATGACTCAATTTTTTGTCAAAATTGACGCTCGTATATGTCATTCTCAGAACATCTAAATTTACATCAATTTTTCTAAGTGTGTAGCAGGGTTGCTTCCACTCACTTGCTATAAAAAAATATTTTTCGAAATTATGCAATCATTAGATGTTATAATGATATGTGGTACAAGTAAGTAACAAGAAGAGGATGTAAAGTATGTGTTTGACTCATAAAACCTGTCAATTTCGCTTTCAGAGCGTCACAATCAGCGATCTTATGATTCGTGAGCGTTCACTCAGAGTGAGCGCTCATTAGTCGTAAAATCGCTGATTGTAACGCACTGAAAGCAGTATTGACAGATTTTATGTGTCAAACATATACTTCATGACCTCTTCTTGTAACTTACAAGTACTAATTAGCATTATACTATTTCATGGTTTAATTATTCCGAAAAACATTTTTTTATAGCAAGTGAGTGGAAGTAACCCTGGTGTGTAGATCTAAATACGAAATGTAGGTTCTACAGTGGGCTCAAGAGAAAGAGGCAGATCAGACCCCATTAGTACCCCTAAGTACCCCATTAGTACCCCTAATGCTTCAACTCACACAAAACAAACTACATATTCATAATCGTCTATAGTCGGTAAAAAACAATGTTCCCCACCGATTCCAACACTTTCCGGCCGCTGATACACCGTTGCTTTTCACATCAAGAAAGACTAGGTTTTGTGGTTTGCCTTTGAGGGCATTATAAAACCCTAAAACAGTACTTTTACTATCCTATGGACACAAAACACACTTCGCACACCATAAATCGGATTAAGAATGACGCGGGAAGTGGTGCACCACTTCCCGCGTCATTCTTAATCCGATTTATACTTGGGATTTCAAACCAAAACATTCAAAGTGTCAGAAATACCGGTTTGCTGGGATGGAACAATCGCAGCTTGCTCTATGACCGGCAAAATCGGCATACCTGTGGCACACTGACAAAAAATAAAACCCAAGATTGGTGTGCGGAGTGACCTACCCCTTGCTGATCTACGACTGATATAAAGTTTGGAAACCCTTTTATATCGCAAAAAGGGCGATTATCGGGTAGTTAGCGGCGAGGTTAGCGGGCTTGGTTGTTACTTGGGGACTCTATCTATGATGCAGCAAAGATTGTGTTTTGCTGTGACTAGCTGCGGGCCTTTGCTAAGAGAAAGAGGAGACAACTGGCTTCTTACTCTTTTATCTATATCTATCTATCTTTTTCTATCTCTATCTTACGCACCTCAAATCAGCCAATCTTGAGCTGGTTCGCGTTTGACAGAAAAGTGGTTCGTTTTCGCCCCCGTATTGTCTCCTCTTCCTCTTATTAACTTATTATTATATAACGATTCACATTACAGCCTATATCACGTTATATAGGCTGTCTTGCAATGAGCACTCATACATAGGATTTCCAGTGAAAACTAGATATATGAGAGCCTTTACCTCTACCTCTACCTCTACCTCTACCTTACCTCTCACGCCAAAGTCACGAGTTCAAGTCTCACCCCCGGACAAGTCACGAATGACCCAAAAGTGTTAAAGTGACTATAATAAAAAAAAAAAAAAAAATGTAAGAGTGCTCATTGCAAGACAGCGTATATCACGTGATATACGCTGTAATGTGAACGGGCTATTAGCAACAATCAATACGAAACTAACGATTTTAAATTGGCTCACCACTTTAGTAGCCTATTGGTCCCAAGCAAACGATTAACGTACCCTATTCTAGTTGAAATTCTATTACTACACTATGTTTGTTTTGATTCGCTATGAAAGTTTGACAGATAACATCAGGGGTGTGTGGATTCATGCAGAACATGCAGGGGTGAGTGAAATAGCTTGGAACTGCTTGGGACCGTTGTTCTGGTACTGAGTGAGCCAAAAATAATAATGATTTTCTTCGGGACCCAGTGGTCTTAGAGTTACCTCTATGCTATTAGGGCCCTTGTCTATTATTGCTCCAGGAATGAATTATAATTCATTCTGAAGCGTGACGTAATTTTATCTGGGGGGAAGTGCTGTCAAATCAGCCTACTGATCATTCTTGTATGAAACTGGTTCCAAACGTAAACAAACCCTGTAGGTTTCTTATGGCTTGTTTACGTTTGGAACCAGTTATGCGTGGTAGGCGAAGATTGTTCGCATTTGACAGCCACCTCCCCCACTTGAATTTTTTAGCACAACCTTGACCATGGTGGGTACATATATATGGTGATACAGCTTTGTCACTATATAGGCGAGGAGGTCGCGGGGGGGAGGGGGAAGTGCGGTTTTAGAGCAAATTGTAAACAAACTCGGTCGCTGTCCCATACAAAAATCCAACATGGCTGAATCATGAATTTGACACATTAGAACACCTATATGAAGTCACCTTGACCTTGACTTAATCTAAATAAAAAGGCCCCGTAAAGTTGAGTCACATACTTCAAGCTGAACAATGCATTAGGTCCTAAGTAACATTGATCGATTCTCTTTGTCGACTTTCTCTTTCGTAAATAACTTGAGCCCATAACTGTTTATTGTTGTGTATGTCGTATTGGATGCTAGATAAGAGAATGTCTTTACATGGCCGTGGGGATACCTCGGGGGATACAAAGACAAAGTCGACGAAGAGAATCTGTCAATGTTACTTAGGACCTAATGTAATGTTCAGCATGATTTCGTCGGAGTATATGCATTTGACGTGGCGACTATTGGCGATCTAACGATATCATAGAGCGCCACTTGTGGCAAATAGGAGAACTAGAAAACTGATGATGGTATCATAATTTTGCACGGCGAGGCTTGGGAGAATATTTTAAAAACGCTTTTATTAAACGAATAAAGAATTTTGAATCTAAAGATCTAAACGAAAACAAGGCTTTACTTCCCGGAATGCGTGATCAGAGATGTTATGCCTCAGAACATCCCGGCGGCGCCGACGGGGATTGAACCCAGGCCTGCTGGGGTGAAAGGTAATCACGCTTTCCACTACACCACCGGCGCCACTTGTAGATGTACTTGGTACCAATAGGCTAGTCAAGTTGTGAGACAATTAACCACTTCATTCGAGCAGTTAAAATGACGTTTACTACCACTCGAACTTTGAAATAAAACATTATTTTGAGATTTTTTTCTTCTAGAACCTCGAGAAAACAAGCCAACATTTCAGGCATAACATTTGATAACGGCACAAAAGCATTTGTAAACAAACTTTCTAAGGCCCTTTACACGCGAACCAAAGTACGCCCACGCAAACCAACAACATCATCGGATAGGGGCAGCTATCAACTTTCCGAAAGTGGTATTGGTTTGCGTGGGCGTACTTTGGTTCGCGTGTAAAGGGTCTTAGAAAGTTTGTTTACAAATCCTTTTGTGCCGTTATCAAATGTTATGCCTGATTTGTGCGTTTCATCAAAAAATAGAAATTAGTTGGTCCAGTTTTGTGAAATCGCTGGTAGAAAGTCACGCCAAAACTGCTTGACAAAGTGGTCAATTGACTACTTTGTCAAGCAGTTTT